CCCCGCCCCTTCCTCCTGACAAAGGAGGTCCCACCCCGGCTTTGTGAGGGGCGCCGAGCGGCAGCCGTCAAGCACACGGGTACCAGCGAGCACAAGGTCGCGCCGCGTCGCCCGGGGCAGCTCCGAGAAGGGTCGACGCTTCCTCTCCCAGGCAGAGTCCAGCTCCGCTCGCTGGCCTGCTCTTGGCTCCTCTGCTGCCAGACGAGCTCCTAGATTCGAGGGCACGTGCTCGGGCTGCGGCTCTCTGTGGGCCCAGGGCTGCGCTCAGCCGACAGCTCTCCCCTTCCCCTGCGGTTCTCTGGCTCAGCTGCAGGTTGGGGCCCTCGCATGCCCAGCTGCTGAACTGACCCCTCCTCCCTGCCCAAGCCCCTGCTCACCGGCCAGCTCAGCATCTCGCCCCCCGCTTATTTCCCAGCCCCCACCAGCCCCAGAGAGCAGGACCCAGTCCTGCTTACTGGGACGCAGGTTCTACACCTGCCCCCGTCTGTCACCGGGCGCTACTCAGGTCCCCCAGAAACGGCCCAAACAGCAGCTGGTTTATTTAACCAAATACGAAGCTTAGAAAGCAAACCCACGACCCGGCTGTAGCCAGGAAGCCTGGCACAGGCCAGAACCCCAAACAGGAATGACCTGAACAGTCCTACCCCGGCTCGAGGGAGCAGTCCTTCCCCTGCGCTCGCAGGCCATACAGCCAGGAACCAGGAGTGCTGCACCAGAGGGCTGTCAGCAACCAGGCTGGCTTCTGCCCCAGGCGGCCTGGGCCCTACAGCCTGCTAGCTGTCGCCCTCGCCCGGCTGAGCTGTGCTGATGACACACACAGAGCCCTGGGGGGAGGGAGAACTCCCCTTATGAGCCCTCCGGTAACCGGGCGGACAAGGGTCAAGTGACCGCGGCCCCTCCGGTAACCGGGCGGACAAGGGTCAAGTGACCGCGGCCCCTCCGGTAACCGGGCGGACAAGGGTCAAGTGACCGCGGCCCCTCCGGTAACCGGGCGGACAAGGGTCAAGTGACCGCGGCCCCTCCGGTAACCGGGCGGACAAGGGTCAAGTGACCGCGGCCCCTCCGGTAACCGGGCGGACAAGGGTCAAGTGACCGCGGCCCCTCCGGTAACCGGGCGGACAAGGGTCAAGTGACCGCGGCCCCTCCGGTAACCGGGCGGACAAGGGTCAAGTGACCGCGGCCCCTCCGGTAACCGGGCGGACAAGGGTCAAGTGACCGCGGCCCCTCCGGTAACCGGGCGGACAAGGGTCAAGTGACCGCGGCCCCTCCGGTAACCGGGCGGACAAGGGTCAAGTGACCGCGGCCCCTCCGGTAACCGGGCGGACAAGGGTCAAGTGACCGCGGCCCCTCCGGTAACCGGGCGGACAAGGGTCAAGTGACCGCGGCCCCTCCGGTAACCGGGCGGACAAGGGTCAAGTGACCGCGGCCCCTCCGGTAACCGGGCGGACAAGGGTCAAGTGACCGCGGCCCCTCCGGTAACCGGGCGGACAAGGGTCAAGTGACCGCGGCCCCTCCGGTAACCGGGCGGACAAGGGTCAAGTGACCGCGGCCCCTCCGGTAACCGGGCAGACAAGGGTCAAGTGACCGCGGCCCCTCCGGTAACCGGGCAGACAAGGGTCATGTGACCCATATCTTGAAGGGGAAAAATAAAATGGACCATAACAAAATGGTGCCCTTCCCCCAACACCAGCAGCCACTTCTCCTGGCCAGCAAGACGCAGCTCGCCAGGGCCTTGCAGTGGAGCGTCCGGGGGAAAGGGCCCCCAGCTGAGCACAGTCCCTGCTGCCAAGCTGCCCGCGGAGCCAGACAGGGCGACCCCATGGCACGGCCAGGGACACTGAGGCACGGAGAAAGGCTGGCCACAGCGGGGAGGAATTGGGGGGGGCGGGGGGCAGACAAGTGCCGCTGAAAACAGCTCTGCTTCCAGCACCCCGGGCCCCTCCTTGCCCGAGAAACAGGGCAGCTTAGCCACTGGGCCAACAGGGCCTGTGCCCAACTGGGGGCCTGGAAGTCCACTGCAGGGGGCAGGCTGGGGGAGCCCCTCCTGTGAGCAGTTCCTCTGAAGCAGCCTCTGGGCAGGGGGAGCCCCCCCCCCCGAAGTTGTAAGGTGGCAGGGGAAGCCCCAGCACCCCAGCCTGGCCCCTGGAGAAGCCTGGGAAGCAGGGAGCCCCACCATCCAGACCTGGGACTGGGAGAGCTCTCACTCCCTGCGGCGTCCTGGCCATGGTGCAGGGACAGAGCCTCTCTGGACTTGGGACTGCAGTGCGGGGGCAGAACGTGGGGGGACCCGAGGGAAAGGGCAGAAACGGGTGGGGAGGGGACCCCCACTTGCTCTGGGCCTGTGCCCCAGAAAACCTTAATCCCTCTCCATGCAGGAGACATCTGGGGAGACCCCCCCCCCCCCGGCCATTCACAAAGGCTGGGCTGGAGGGGAGCAGAAAGCCCCTAGCACTGCTGCAGGGCCAGGCTAGCTGGGATCCCCTGGGACAGGCCAGATGGCTGCCAAGACACTTTCTTCTCCTGGCAGGCGCCCCGAAGCCTCGTTCCTCTGGTTCACGGCCCCCCTCAAGAGCCTGCGCTACATCATCTGGCAGCCAAACAGGTGCCGGATCATCCTGGCCGTGCTGCTGTTTCTGCTGCTGCTCCTGGTTGCAGCTTTTATCTACGCCTCCCCGGTGCGTGGCAGTCGGGGCCTGGAGTGGGAGGGGGCTTCCTGCAAGGGTCCCTGCAGGGCTGCAGACAGGGAGAATCCGCAGCACCACACTGGTAGGGCCTCTGCCCAGCCCTGGGGCCCCTGGCTGAGCCATGGCTCAAGGGTGCCAGCCAGCAGCATTCTGGGGGGACTTAGGGGGATCCAAAGCTGCTGGGGGAGGGTCATGCAGGTAGGCTTTGGGGAAAGGGCTGGCCTTGCTGGGGGAGGAGAATGAGCTGACAAACCATGGGGGGGAGAGAAGGGGGCTGCTGCACCCTTCCAGCTGGAGCTGTTTCCGCCTGTGGTCCCCGGCTCCAGCCCCCTCCCTAGCTGCTCCAGGCAGAGCCCACAGCCTGACTCCTCCTCCTCTCTCCCCAGCGCTACTTGGCCATGAAGCTGATAAACCCCTTCCGCAGCCTGCATTCCTTTGGGAGCCTGAACCCCCTGGCAGGGAGCAACCAGGGCCAGTAGCCGTGGGGAGAACAACGTGCTACAGGCCAGTGAAAAGGGGCCCACCCCCCTGTGCTCCCCGCCACCCCCAGGAAGCAGCGCTGTCCTACAAATCCCTCCCAAGGCTGCACCCCGGATGCCAGTGAGCCAGCTGCTCCGCTCCGATGGGAGAGCAGATGTGCCCGGCTCCATTCAGGCCTGTAGTCCCTAATAAAGACCCTTCACAGTGAAATGGGCTTTTCCTGGCTGGGCGGGAGCCCTGGGGTGCAGTGCAGGCCCTGCCCTGGCTACGGTTCTGCAAATGCTGAGCAGGACCTCTGGACTCCTGCTGCCTCTGGCATGGCCAGGCTGTACGGGCTGGGAGGCATGGCCCCACAGGCGCCTGTCCACTCACCACTTCCACTCTGCCCCAGCAGGACCCCCCCATGCAGGGTGGGCACTGGCCACAGGAAATGCCAGTCACAGCAGAACCAGGCTGCTAGACAAAGCCTGCGCCAGTTACCTCCAGGCCGGCTATGCTGGACTCTCTTCTAGGGAGCTGGAAGGATCTCACCGTCATGGCTTATGCTGCATCTACCCAGCAGGGGCCAGTCCCACCTCTGCCCCGAGGGTAGTTGGGGGGGGGAGGGGGGTTCAGAAATCCTGAGCCCCAGGGAGTGAGTGGGCAGGGGCCCAAACTGGCTGAGCACAAGAAAAGGGCGAAACTGAGCACGCGCGCTCGCCCCAGGCTCAGCTCGGGGACTCCAAGCACAAGGCAAAGCAAGCGCCGGCTCCGGGAAGGAAGCAGGCAGCTTGTGGGATTTTTCACACTTAGCCACGTCAACGACTGTGCCGAGGGGATTCCAGCAGCAGGAAGTGCGGGAGGCCACCAGGAGCAGAGATGCCCTGTGCGCCCCTGGAGCCACACGGTCAAACCACCCTCCTACGGGGCGGCGGAAAGGTTAAACGGCGCCTCTGGATTAAGTGACGTGCAGCCCCCTGCGCGTGGGACGTGGGTTTATTTCCAAGACCCAAGGCACCCTTGCACAAACAGGCACGCGCTCACACTTCCAGAGATGCAGACTGCACAACTGCTGTGCCACGTGTAAACCTCCCCTAGCCCAAGCCCCCCTGCTGCTGCAAAGGCCACACGACTGCCACCTTCCCAACAGGGTGCTCAGGGAAGCGGTGGGGAGAGCAGACGAATCTAAGGCTTTGTCTGCACTTGGCAGTTCCCGTGCGAGCCGCCTCCGCGGGGAAAGGGCAGCGCTGGGAGCTGCAGCCCAGTGCACACGGCTGCTTTCCAGCGCTGTCCCGTGCTGCGCTCGGGGATCACAACCGGACCAGTGCAGACTTAGCCGTCGTCAGACCCTCTGCAGAGGGAGGAGGGCCGCACCTCCCGAAGCTCCAGCACGGCTTTTCCCGGGGACCAAGGCTCTGCCCAAGGGAGGAAACTGCGGAGGGACACGTCAGAGGCTGTGAAGGCTGGAACTCAGACACTGCAGCAGGTGCAGCTCAGAGCCCAGTGAGCACAGGCACCCAGCTGGGGCCTGCAGCCTCCCCCCTTCAATAAGGCCAGTTATCCTACTGGCACAGGGCCTGGACCTCTGGGGCTGCAGCAAGGCCAGTGGCTTCCCCAGCCCTGTCTTGCCCTCCCCCCCAGACCCTCAGAGACCACAAGGCCCCCGGGCAACAAGCAGATTCCTACCTGCTCCTCTGCTGCACTGCGGATTGGAGACCCTCCTGCCAAGCCGCCGCCACCAGCACAGCTCAGACGCCTCTGGCTGGTCGCCAAGCTAGAGTGGCTGCTTCGTCTGTGCCACAGGCCGGCAGCGCTGCTCCACGCTGGCACCGCCCTGGCCTTCCAGAGAGCAGAGCCAGCAGCCAAGGCCACGGGGGCTTGGGGCCCAGGCGGAGAGCCAGGGAGGGGGCCTGGTTTGCACAAAGGGGTCTCCAGCTGGGCTCCCAAGAACTGAGGCACTTAAAGAAAAACAGCCCATCACAAGCCATGTGGTCTGGGCCGACGACCATGCCCCGTAATTGGCCGGGCCCTTGGGCCTCCTGAGGTACGGAGGCCGGCAGGATCCAGGCTGCCGGGAACGGCCAGGAGCCTCTGAGGAGTCTGGGCTTTTCCTCTGCCCCAGCTTCATCCCAGGCCCATCACTGCTTCCCCTAGCACTGTCACCAGGGCAGGAGGGCCAGGGAACTAGAACCTGGCCCTGGCGTGGGATTTCAACCAGCCCTGGGCCACCTGAGCACAGCTACAGGCCCAGTGATACCACAGGATGGAACAGTCCCTGGATGCTGACTCTGTTCCCGGAGCCTGCACCGTCAGCAGGGCCGCCCGAAAGCCAGGAGTCCTTCACAGCCAGCAGCCCGAGGCAGGAAATCGCCGACCATCCCTGACAGGCAGCAGCAGAGCGTCCGGAGGGATCGGCGCTCTCCCCCGGCATGGCCAAGCTCTCTGCCAGGCCAGCCCCCGATCGGTGTCCTTCCAATCCACGCACCAAGGCAGGAGAGCTGGGCCTTTCACGAGACACTGACCCCACTCACAGGACAAGTGACATGCAACAGCCCCAGGCAAAGGGGGCTCCCAGTGCGGTCCCCAAAGGGGAAGCAGCATTGCATGCAAAGAATGGCCCAGCGGGGGAGGGACGGGCCCCCTGACAGCAGCAACTGGTTATGAAACAGACCCCAGGGTTACAGCAGTCCCTGGGCAGCAACATGATCACACGTGAACGGAGGGGAGGTGGGGGACTAGCCGTCCCTCGCCCAGCACCCTCCCACGCTCAGCAGCAAGTGACACCAGACCCTTGTGCAGGGTCCACAGGACTCCCGCGCCAGCACGGAGACGTCAGTGGCTATGCCCCAGCAGCAAAGCCCGGCTGGCAGGGAGAAGGAGGGGGCTAGACGCTAGCAGCAGCAGGCAGCTCAGCTCAGCTGCCAGCAGAGCACTGAGCCAGGAAAGCCGCCGGGGGCCAGCAGCAGGCAGCGAGGGTCCCGCAGGGGCCATGGAGGGCGCAGCACTACCCAGCAAGGAGCATTTTGTCTGGCCAAGCGCCAGCCTCACACCAGTGGGGCTGTTCTAGGGGTTAGTGGTCAGGGCCTGGCCAGCCAGTCACGCTGTGGCACTGCCCCAGAGAGCAGTCACCCCCCCCAGAGTCGCTGCAACGTTCAGCCCCACGTGCCCTGCAGAGCAAGCGCTCCCGGCTCCCCGCGGGCCAGGGGGAAGCACGCCTCAGTGAGCCAGCCTGCAGGGCCGGGGGGCCAGTGTCCCTGCTGCCCTACACGTCACACGAAGCCTGCTCCCCCGGGGTCCAGCTGGAATCGCCCCGCTCGACGAGAGCAGCAGCCTCCCAAGGGGTCATTCGTCACGCTCCACAAAGTCCGGGATGAACAGGCATTTCCGAGTGCTAGCCTGGGCTTCCCCGCTGCCAGCCACTGGCACGGGACCCCCTCCGCAGAGCTGCTGGTCCCCCAAGGCAGGCGCCAGGTCAGTAGAAGCGTTTCCGGCTCTGCTGCTGCCATTTGTTGTAGACAATGACGCCGATGACAATGGCAAACACCAGGGCGACCAGGGAGAAGAACACGATTAAGAACAGGGCCAGGCCACTCATGGGTTCCAGAGGCGCCTCCACTGTGGGGCAAGAGGAGAAGCCAGGGTCAGTCACTGCAGACGATGGCGACGGGGAGCCTAGGGCCCCCGGGGTTATGTACCCTGCCCATCTCTGCAGCACCCTTCTCCCCCGCGTCCCGGGACCTGCCTTTTACCCTCGCTATGGGCCTTTTACCCTCGCTATGGGCTCAGTGGCCTGCAGCATCCTCCGCCCTGTCTCCAGAGCACACTGTGCACTAGGCATCCCTGACCCGGCCAAGCTGCCGGCTCCAAGCACTCTGGAGGGGTCGCGGAGAGGCTGACGCTGGCCCAGCTGCTAGGCTATTTGCTCACGCTGTGCCCTCCTTCTGGGAGACAGCCTAAGGAACAGAAGAGCCCGCCTGGGGCACTTGGCAGGTCCCAGTCTGAGCGCTACTCACCTCCGGGCAGTTTCATGTTGTCCACGACGGGCAGGAACACTTCCTTATCCCGCTTCTCCTCCGCTGGGCTCCGCTCCACCGTCAGCTGGTAGAGCTTCAGGGAGATGATGTCATGGTTATCTAGGGCACAAGAGACGTGTGGGAGGAGGGGTCGTGGCCCAGGCTAGCAGAACTCAGCTCCTCGGACAGGGCCTGCCATGGTCAGTGTGGGGACGGTGCCGGCACCGGGGCCACAAGCCACTCCGATGCCGAGAGAGAAACAAGGCGCTGGTCACCGTTGACTTCACAGCCCCCTCAGCCAGCTGATGGCAGCCAGGCCCATCACCCCCCTCCCCCGGCACAGTCCCTTTCCTTGTCTGGCACACAACCCCGCTGCCACAGTGCTCAGACGATGGCCATGGAGGGAATCAGGGATTTTGCTGGAGCAAACATGACTCCAGGTGCTGGTGACCAACGTGCTTTCGAAGAGGCTTGATTCCAGTCGGTGGGGAACTGGCCCTCGCCCCGCGGGAGCAGACAGGGCGGGGCGTGTCAGGCAAGGGGCAGAATTCATGCACCTTATGCCGGATGGGGCCAGGCAGCTGTGCGTCCACAGCTACAAAGCCCATGCACAGGCCCCTCGCCGACACGGGAAGGGGAACAGCTGGTGGCTGCAGGGCCCTGCAAACCTGCCTGCTCTAGAACCCTCCTGGACATCCCCAGGTGCCCCCACACAGGTCCAGCTGCAGCAGGGAGCGGGGGTGAGGCTGGGCAAAGGGCTGTCAGTGTGACACCTTTGCATCTTACACACCCAGGTGTGGGCCGACAGGAGCCCGCAGGCGTCTGGCTCCCGGCCAGCCCTGCCCCCAATGCTGCACACACCCCGCGCCTACGAACTGGAGCTGGCCCCTTTCTGACCAACACACCTGCCTTTCCAGCTCCCCGGTTAGCCCCAGGGACCTCTCCACAGACACAGCTCAGAGTTGAGACCCCTCGGGCCCTCCGATACCAGCAAGGTCTGGCCTGAGCACCAGAGGCACATCTGAAGGCAGGGCTTTGGCTCCCCAGTGACAGCAGCGAGTCCCAGAGGCCAGGCAGCAGGCCCGGGCACGCGGGGCTCTCGCCACGGCACAAAGAGCAGCCCCAGCCCAGCGACGGGCCTGGGGGCCTGCAGACCCCGGCGGAGGAGACGCAGACCCGCCCTTAGGGCTTGTGCAGCAGTAGCCAGGCTCGCAGCGCGGTACCTGAGAGGTCTCCCGTGACTGAAGAGGTCCCAAAGAAGTAGCCCCGCGGCAGGTGGACCCCCGCCATGTCGATGCAGTCCCGCCACTCATGCTTGCCATCGATGTCAATCATGATCTGAAACACAGGAGGCTTCGCTCAGCCCGGAGCAGCCCGGCTGGCCCGGAGCTCCAGGAGGCCACTCACCGTCAGCCGCCGTTTGACGTAGCGGATCACCAGGAAGGTGTCGTGGTTGAGGTTGCGCACCATGGCCGTGCAGCCGCCGAGCTCGGTGGGCCGGCCGTCCCGGTTGTGGTCGTAGGTGAGGGAGCCATTGCTCACCATGGCCGAGATGTAGGGGAACACACGCTGGAGGGATGACAAGGCCGCAGGTCACTGGTCTCACCGCTCCGCAGGCCTAGCCCAGGCAGCAAGGCAACGGCAGCAGCCGAGAGCGAGACATGGGCAGCGCAGAGCCCCTCCCCAGCCCAGAAACAGGCCTTGGCCAGAGAGTGGCCCCAGCCCAGAACCTCCCCCAGCGCCTGGCAGGAGCTGGCTCTGCAAGGGAGCCAAATGTGGGCAGGAGGCCCTGGCCTGGCTGATCCTTTCCCCCACCCAGCTCTAGGAAGGGTCGTGGGTGCCACCTCCCAGGCTTGCTCACTCTGCGGAGACCCCCAGCTTTCCCGTTCCCCAGGGGCAGTCCCATCGCACTTCTCCTACAGGCCGGGCTGGCTCACGCACAGTGCCCTCCAGCTAGCCCAGCCAGCCAGCCACTGCTCCACTTCCTGCCCTCCACGCTGGGCTCTGTTCCACCAAGACATGCTCCCTGTGCACCAGTCTGGGGCCAGCGCTCCTGCTGCCCTCGTGGGCAGCGCCGTGAGAGGCCCTGTGGCAGTAGCAGATGGCTAAACACCCCCAGCTGAGCCACTGCCGATCCACTAGACCATGAGCAGAGGCAAGCAGAGCCCCGAGGCCGGGCCCCAGCCTGATGCTGCACAAGGTGCAGGAACGGAGGCTTGTTTCAGGGAGAGAGAAGAGCAGACAAGACAGAGAGCTGCAGAGGCTCCTCCGCCTGTAGGTAGGCACCGCCCCCAGGAAGAGAGGAGTGCACCAAAGCCACCAGGGCAAGGCCTGAGCGAGAGCTTGGAGAGGCCCCAGGAAAGCGATCAGCAGCCTGCTGCTCTGTCACCAGCGGGCTGGGTGGGATCCGTGGCCGATGAGAAACGCTCGGAACCAGCCGGACTGGCTGCAGCGTCAGATAAAGGTTTCTCTTACCCGGCAAGATCACAAACACCCTGGGGGAGGGGGGACTCCGCCGCTGGAAAGGAGCTAGGAGCAAGTACCTGGTTTCCAGGGGTATACCTCCTCTTCTGAGCCTGAGTCCAGAGGGTTAGTGAGAGCAAGAAAGGTGCAGAAGCAAGACAGAGTCACCGACCAGACAGTTTAGTGTCAACCTGTAAACTGGGAGGGAAACGCGCCCTACGGACTCACCAGCACTGCCCCCTTGCCAAGGCTTGAGCACACGCTGCATTTTGCAAGACTTGTGCCAAGCCCCTGAATACACGGGCCCAAGAAGCCACCCGCCATAAGCTGCCCAGTACATACCCCTATTTCCCTTCCCCATCCCACCGCGCAAAACCACCATAACCCAGAGCCGAGGACCCGAGCATGCATGCCAAGGAAGGACTGCTGGGCTGCAGCCCCCCATATCTACACTTCCCAGTTAACTACAGAGCCCCACTTCTGGGTTTCGTGCAGGAAAGGAAGGGCGAGGTGAGGAGAGGGTGCAGCTGTGATTGCAGGCCCTATTGGAGCAACATGGCCATGGCTTGTCCAGCGTTTCTGCGCCTCTGGCTTCTGCTGTAGGAGGGGAGTGCCCACAGGCCAGGGAGTGGCTCTTGGCGTCTCTGAGGCAAGGATCACTGTGATAAGGGCAGGCCCAGAGCCACACAGATGCCAGCATCCCAGTGACCTGGACACAAGCTCCCGGAGCTTACTCCGTTGTTTTCACATGGGACCGAGTTCTACACCCGTTCCCTGGGAGTCGGATGCAGCTCCACAGATGTCAGTGCAGTTCTCCTGCGGCAGAACAGGAATAAAATCCTCCCTTGTGTCGGCTGGCTAGGACCCAAACCAGACGCCAGCAACAAGCTGCAGATGCTCTGACTTCTCCCTGCGCGGTGGCTCAGTTTAGGACCTTTACCCTCCATTAAATGCCAAGCCCTGGAGTAGCACCGGTGAGCAACGGCTTCTCCCACTGGCAATACCTAGGACCAAACCTACACGTACAAAGGCCCTTGACGGAGCAAGAGCAGGACAGTGTTAATGTTTCAGCCAAACCTGACAGTGATGCAAGATCTGTCTAGTCAGTTTCAAGGTCAGAAGCCCCTGCACAGATGAGCTGGTCAGAGGGAGTCCAAAGGAGACTTGGGGTCCAAGTGGAAGAATCAGCAGGATGCGAATGTTGGGATTATTTACGCACCCGCCAGGGCTGGCTGGACGAAAGCCGTGTATTTCCCACAACAAGTTTGGAATGAGATGACAAACTCTCAGCTTGTGCAAAATTTAACAAAACTGTTCCAACATTTTTTTGTCTTGGCTGCTTGGGCTTCTCCCCGCTCACTTCTCCCAGGGGAAAGAGGGAGAAAATCTAAACACCCGACCCCCGGGAACCTTCTGGTGAGATGCACAGGTCGTTTCCTTTGCCAGCTGGCCAATGCGCACACTCATGGCATCAGTCCACGTTTGCATCAATGCCAGCACCAGCACGGCCTGCCTACAGCGCTCTAAAGCCCAGGAGAGGTCCAGGAGGGCTGCAGGAAAGCCTGGGCAGCAGGTGTCAGGGCTGGCATCTGAACCACGGCTCTGTAGAGACGAGACTCAGCAGCCTAGCTAGTGTCCAACACCTCAGACAGCTGCCAACGGAGTACACCTGCTTCCCATTTCTCCTTTGCCCCACCCTTCCAAAGTGCTGCAGCCATTGCTGATGGCCACGGCTGCTCCAGCACATGCTAATTGGTGTGTCTGGCCTGTGCCTACAAGGGCTAGCCCTGCTTGGTGCAAGAGAAACTAGCCAGGCCCACTCAGTCCTTGCGCGTGCTCCTCTACACAGGTGCTTTGGCACAGACAGGGCGGAGAGAGAGGCTGACCGGTTCCCGTGTGAAAAGCTACTCACCCCGGAGAGGGAATGGCAGGGAAATCACCAAACCCAGCACCTGGCAGGAAGAGAAACAGGAGGGGCAACGAGAGCAGGAGCCACAGCAGGTGCAGCCATGAGGAGCTGGAGAGGAGGCTATGTTCAGAGCCCCCCTAGCCTGGTACATGCCTGGAATCTAACGCAGCCAGCTGCACTGCCACCAGAAACACGCAAACCCTCCTGAACAGCCACTTCGCCAACTCTACCCTCAAGCGCTGCGGGGATAGCGACGGTAACACACCCTCAGACCCGGGCCCCACCTCCCTCTGGCCCGCCACGGGCCCGCTTACCTCCTGCTGCTTCTCCTCGTTGGGGTAGGTGTCTACAAACACCCCCAGCCCCACAAAGTTATCCTTGCTCCCAAACACGGGCCCTGGAATGGATTGCAGAGAGTGAACGCCGAGCGACGTGGCTTGCACCCCGCGGCTCTCAAACAGAGCCAGGGGACCTGCTTTCCGACTGGCCCCACCTCGGAGCGGCAGATGACACTTGCCCCCTTGTGGCCAATGAGAGCCAGTGGGGCAGCCTCCAATTTCATGCCAAAGAACTTTCCCCAAGACTCTATGCCAGACACACCCCTAAGGAAGCCTGGGCTTGGCACTAGCAGCAGCTCCTAGGGCAGCTAAGCAAGTGGCATCAGCAGAGCTGCCCTCTCCCTGGGCCAGGCTTGGAGGGCCTGTGGCCCCTCCCCAATGCAGCAGTTAGCATTTGCAGAACAGCCTAGCCCAGCACCCAACCGCTGGGCGAGCTTGGACAAGTCCCTGCCCTCTGCACCTCTCTTCCCTACCCGTCCCACAGAGAGAGCAACACTCTGCAGGGTACACAGGGGCTAGAGATCAGCCCGTCCCCCTTTGACAGACGAGGAAACGGAGGCTCAGATGAAGCGACTTGCCCAGACACTGGGACACGGCCCTTCACAGCACAAGTCTGGTCTCCAGACATCTGGAGCTGCTGCCGTCTCCACCACCGAAGCAGGAGTGGGGCTTGTTCTGCACCCCCGACAATCAGGCCTAGAAATTGGCTACCACAAGGCTAAATTCACTCAACGAGCCCCAGGAAATGGTCACCCCAAAGTCAGTGTTAGCCGCGTGACATTACTGGGTCGTGAGATTAACATACAAGTCACTGTGGCAACCAGCCCCACCCCCAGCCACGGGCAGCGCTCGTCTGCCTGCCATGTCCACAGTGGAGGCTTCACGCAGCTCTTCCACCTGGCTGCCAGCATTTTACCTGGCTGCATGCGATCCTTGGTGTACCAGATGGCAAAGCCGTCCCCATTCAGGTTCTTCTTGCCTTGCCCGTGGATTTTAAAATGGACCTGCATCTCCCAGTCTCGCAGGTAACAGGGCTGCAAGAGAGAAAGGGGAGAGGGTATGCAGCAGTCAGAGGGAATTGGACACTAGAATAACCCGGCCGTCACATCACAGCCCCTCCCGCTGTTGCCACGCAAGCAGACATGTCAGCGGGACTCCACTCCATCCTGCCAGAGAGAGAGAGAGAGAGAGAGAGAGAGAGAGGGGCGCAACCGGCCGCAGCATGCCCGACAGACAATACCACTGTGTCACCGCACAGCCCCAGCCTGGCACCTCTACCCCGCAGGGCAAAGCGCTGGCCAGCGCCAGCACTAGCACAAGTACAGGTGCTAACAGGAGCAAAGCTGCAGAGATGGCCTTCCTCTTCCCTTGCAACAGGCATTTTGGCAAGAATAATTAACAACAGGGGCACCATTCAGATTAGGGACCCATGGCTATAAAACCCAAGAGCTTGGTTCTGCCCTCACACAGGTCTAAGCAGGGTGGGTAGTTTAAATCAAGGGCTTTAAATCACCGATCTAAATCAAGTTACTAAAAGAGCTAAGACAGACTGTGCTTAGTGAGCACTTAATTTTGGAATAAGCCCTATTGACCTCAGTGGCACATCTGTATTTCGAGAAAACGAGTACAGAATGGGGTTCCCTTGGAAAAGCCGAGGTGGGCTGCAGTGAAATAGGGAACAGACTTACGACATCAGCGTTCTGGTCTGTGGCCATGATATTCCAAGTAAGGGGTGTGTGTTATGCAATATAAAATAAGAAAATGACACTCCGTGGCAACTGGCACCTCTAGATTTCTCTTACTGCAGCTTTCTGTGCTGCGTACATGAGCGATAGATTCTAAACCTGCCTGTCTAACTAAACAAGCCATAAGGATTAGCTAAGCTAAACTTTTCTTTTAGCAACACAGCAAACAGCTTGGGAGTTTCCTTGTCAAATCTCACTTACAGAAAAGGAAGAGAGAGAGTCCTGAAGAATGATGCTTTGCAAAGTGAATTGTTTAAGTTTCTAACCACTCCACCACATCTACATCGTTTTCTCCCACTAAGCAATTTTCTTAATGATATTTCTTAATGACAAGTCTTACAAATAGGCCCTGCATCTCCTTCTTGCCCTGCTTACTCTTGACACGTTGTCCTTTTTCACCCAGGGGACAAATTCCTTCAAAAACAGTCCTGGATAGGGTCCCTCTTACACCAAGAATGTAAGAACATAAGAACAGCCAGACTGGGTCAGACCAAAGGTCCACCTAGCACAGCGTCCTGTCTGTCGACTAGCCAGTGCCAGATGCCTCAGAGGAAGGGAACCCAACAGATAATCCTCATGTAATCCCTCTCCTATCATCCATTTCCAGACAAACAGAGGCTAGGGACCCCATTCCTACCCTTCCTGGCTAATAGCCACTGATGAACCGAACCTCCATGAACCTATCTAGCTCTTTTTTGAACCCTGTTAAAGTCCTAGTCTTCACAACATCCTCTGGCGAGGAGTTCCACAGGTTGACTATGCACAGAATGAAGAAAAATTGCCTTTTTTTTTTTTAACCCTGCTGCCTATTCATTTCATTTGGTGACCCCTAGTTCTTATGAGCCAGGACATTTTTTCTGTAGCAAAAGTGTGGGGGAGCACAGGAAGCTGTGTATGTGCTGAATGTCTTCCCTTTGCCTTTCCAGTTCATTCTCGGGATGTAACAGCGTAGTCGGTTAACCAATTAACAAAAGCTTATAGGTAATGCTATAGACTACATGGATTCCTCCCTTCCTCGTGCCAGTTACTTTTTTAGCAAGGTGGCCAGCAGCCTGGCTCTGTCCTGGCTCATGCCGGGTCCAGGACCTACCCCCTCTACGGCTCTGCATTTAAAGTGTATTAGGAGCCAGGTGGGCAAGCAGCCTGGCTCAGTTCCAGCTTGCGCCAGGTGCAGGAGCTCAGATCCCCCCTGGCAGGGGCTGCTGCCACCCCGCACTGCTGCCTCTTAGCTGGTTTTTAAACTGACTCCCCTCACAAACTAGCTCCCGCCTGGCACCCTGCACTGCTGCCTCTGATACAGTGGCAGACGACTCCTCGGGAGTGGAGCCCGAGCACACTGACTGCTGGCCCCGCCCCCAGGGACTAGAGACTAACCAATAAGAATTCACGAAGTTACTCAACTATTCAATTAACCGATATTTACCATTCCTAGCTCATGCCACTCTTCCTTTCTATGCTGCCTCCATCCTTTCCTGTGTATTGTCTCTGTCTTCAGACAATGTCTTAACTAACTCCTCCGCCGTGCCTGGCCCAGGTTCACCACCACATAAGCACAGAACAAAAACAATCCCATCCAGCCTGTGTCTGGCTTTGCGTGTGCTAGTCTGCCGAGAAACAGAAAGCCCAGGCCTTTCCAGAAGAAAGAGCTGGTCATTAGGCTGGGCAGACTGGAGCCATTAACGAGACTGTCAGTGTATGTGGAACACATCTGTGGTGAGATGTAATTGTAACTTATTTGTAAATGAGAAAGTTCGTATTGTATTCGTGATTTTAAAAACATTTAAAATGCAATTGACATTTAAAAAAAAGTATCGCGACCCTCCGATCAGCCCCCTCACTTTCCATGTTATGGAAAACAATAGAATTCCAGGCACATCTCGTTTTCCTGCCACAACCAACCGGACCTCGCTTTAGGTTAGGAAAAGAGGCAGCTGATAATAAACGTCTTGCTCCTAGCTCTTATCGTTTAGGAGAAGTCCTTGAACAAATGACCCACAGACAGACAAGCTCACAGACGCTTCTAAAATATTTAGAGAGATGCTCTCCCCACAAGCAGGCATTTTACAGATTTGAGCAATTCCTACTACAATCCAGAGAAACACGCAAACCCTTGATAGGGACTGGAACTAGGACCTCATATACCAATACCAGCTTTTAAAAATAGGTTCCATGATAAACCCAAGGGCAATATAAATGGTAAAGAACAGCAAGGTAAGACTCCACGAATATGTTAGAAGGCCCAAGCAGACTGAAGTTGAGAAAGCCTGCACTGAACAGCGCAAGAAGATTTGACCATAAAACATTTTCTGGCTCAAAATCCAGCTTTTCACTTCATAAGCAAATTAAAACCACTTCTTACGCAAGACGTAAGTTTAACAAACAGTCAGTGAGAGCTGAACCTGTGACTCAAGCCGACAGCCAGCCAAGAAAGGTGGAGAGCCCAGACACGTGTGCTGCTGTGCCAAGTATGAAGGCAGCTGTGAGGTGACCTGGGTGAAATCCTGGCACGTGGGAGCAGGGAGAGGTCAGCTCGAGTTTACAGGCTAAACTGAGAAGGCCCAATTCACACTGGTATAAACCAGTACGACTCCACTGACTTCAAAGGAGCTGGAACTGCTCTGCCTTTGGTCCAGTGACCTTAGAACATAAGAACGGCCGTACTGGGTCAGACCAAAGGTCCTTCTAGCCCAGTATCCTGTCTGCCGACAGTGGCCAGCACCAGGTGCCCCAGAGGGGGTGGACCGAAGACAATTATCAAGCAATTTGTCTCCTGCCATCCTTCTCCAGCCTCCAACAAACAGAGGCCAGGGACACCATTTCTATCCCCTGGCTAATAGCCTTTTATGGACCTAACCTCCATGAAATTATCTAGCTTCTCTTTAAACTCTGTTATAGTTCTAGCCTTCACAGCCTCCTCTGGCAAGGAGTTCCACAGGTTGACTATACGCTGTGTGAAGAAGAACTTTCGCTTATTAGTTTTAAACCTGCTACCCATTAATTTCATTTGGTGTCCTCTAGTTCTTCTATTATGGGAACTAATAAATAACTTTTCTTTATTCACGCTCTCCACACCACTCATGATTTTATAGACCTCTATCATATCCCCCCTCAGTCTCCTCTTTTCTAAACTGAAAAGTCCCAGTCGCTTTAACCTCTCTTCATATGGGACCCGTTCCAAACCCCTAATCATTTTAGTTGCCCTTTTCTGAACCCTTTCCAAGGCCAAAATATCTTTTTTGAGGTGAGGAGACCACATCTGTACACAGTATTCTAGATGTGGGCGTACCATAGTTTTATACAGGGGCAGTAAGATATTCCGTGTCTTATTTTCTATCCCTTTCTTAATAATTCCTAGCATCCTATTTGCCTTTTTGACCGCCGCTGCACACTATGTGGAAGTTTTCAGAGAACTATCCACAATAGAGAACTATCCACCTTGTGCATGTCCACACAGTTCACTCCGCAGAACAGACGCCTCTGTCCTAAGTCACTGTATTTTGGGACATGGCTCTTCATCTGGTCAGGATCTAAAGACTGTGCCACAACTGAGTAGTGATACTGAATGGACTATAATAGTAACAACAATGAGATCAGAGGGATTTTGGCTCAAACCCTCTCATAGAGCTGGCAGGGCTCCCTCCTGCAAGTCACTGACAAGCACTGCCCTTTGTGGTCACAGGGGTAACAACCTCCTGTTGTGGTCACAGGGGTAACAACCAAACGCAGCTGCCAAGACACTGATTTAGCAACTACTGATCCTGTTAGCAACAGGCTTGTTTCAGATTAACTGTAGCTGGAGCGTGTTTTACGCAAGCATCCCACAAATAATCTGTATGGCCAATCTGCCCCTGAGGCCCATCCACCCTGATTTACGCTAGAGCCACGGAGACTCACCATCAGACCACCACTCTGTGGCCTGCACAGCAGATTCCCATGAGAATCTGGGCTCTATAAATCAAGGCATCCCTATCACCATGGTTACCCCACGACTGAATTCAGACGCACTGACCGCATCCCAAAGACAAATCGCTTCTGCACAGCAGCCGAAACCCGGCAGTGCCCATGCTCTCACATATTGCTCCAGAGCATTACTCTTACCACTCTGTTCCACACGGCCCCCTGTTTGCTCTGCATGTCTGGTGTGAGGCGGACATACTGAGTCATGACCATGGCATTGCCCATAAGATCCCAGAGAGAAGAGCTGGAAGAGCCAACACCTGGGGGTAGAAGGGAAACATCTGCACCAGCCATACAACAGTAGAGTGCTCGAACCATTCAAGAGTAGGAATTGCCCTTTGGTTCGCATATAGCACCCCGCCATCTACCTTCCCCCACAACTCGCTTCCTTCTCTCCCTTGGTTCTCCTCCCAGACCCACCGCCCGGTCACCCTCCCCTTTCCATGTACACTCGACATAGCTCATTCCCAGCCCTTCTCTCCTGGGGTTCCCAAACCCATCCCTCTCCTGCCCCCCCCATCACACTCCAGCCCAC